AATAAAAGCAACCTATGTCACGTGGTTAAAGATACCGATAATACGACTGTTACTATAACTACAAAATAAAAAAAATTAGCTGCCTTGCATTGTATGGCTAGAGGTGTTTTTTGATGGTCTATCTTATCAACTACCAACAATCGCATAAATTTATGCAGATCATTGTGTGTTGCATACAATATCAAATTAATTGATCGATTGCGATGATTAAAAGAGCAATTTAAATTATGAAATTTTAATATTTTGTACAGTTATTCATCTATAAAAATACATATGGTGCCACCTTCAAAACAGAGGAAAAAAATTTTTGTTAACCGTATATGATTTACGCACTGTCAAAAAATTTTGGTAACTATTTCTTAATAATTACAATAACAATTTATTGTAGGTAAAAAAATTAATTGTATATACAAAATACATTTTTTTTTTATCCATACTCTGAGTTACAAGTGGTTTAAACTATGTCTTGAATGAAAAAAGCTTTGTTCAGTTTCTGTACGACTCTTTAATCTAAAATACGCACTATTAATAAAGACTAAAGAATCTACTTTCATGTTTGTACACATATGTAGTATGAATTTCGTCAATGCAATAACCAGAAAGTATTGATAAGAAATGTAAATATAAGCTCAAAATATAATATATGAACGTTGATAAATATTCACGTATAATTGAATGTAAGTTGTACTTTACTGGTAATGATCATATTTGATATAATCGTAGTAAAAGTGTGAGTTTTCTTCTGCTTTTGGCTTTTTTTGTCGTGAAAAGGATGTTGAACATAATTTCTTAGGAGTTTTAAAATACACAAATTATGTTAAAATCCTTAAAAGTTATTTTAGTGTTATAAAATTATAGAATTGCCTTGTATCAAAGTAACAATATTAATTTAATTTGTTTTGATGTATCCGAAAAAAAATGTTGACAACGTATATATATAAAAATATATTTTTAACGAAACATAAATAAAAGAAATGAAGACAAAATGATACGTTGAATAAAAAAAAAAAAAAAAAAAAAAA